GGGAGGGGAGGAGGGGGGTTGGGGGGTATAAATGATGGTCGGGGATGAGGGGGTAGGGGGTGATGTAGAGATGGGGAGTGGAGGGGAGGGGGAGGATGAGATAGCATTAGAGGAAAGGAGTAATGGTGAGAGGGAAGGAGGGAGGGGAGGGGAGGTGGAGGGAAGGATTATGGCGAACAGATTGCCAAACATGAGGTGCCGGGCACAGCCTGGTCCCATTATATTACTCTATCCGGTTAACCGGATAATAACTGGTTTGGGGGGGGATTCCGAATTTGACCAGCAACTTGTATAGTCTATGTTTGAGGGTTTAAGTGAATCATTCGAGAGAATTGTTTGAGTAAAGAGAAGAAGAAACGAAGACGAAAAAGACAAACAAACAAACAAACAAACAAACAAACAAACAACAACGCAGAAGCAAACAAGAAGGAGAAAGATGAAAGGTATGACAAGAGAGACGGAGAGAGAGAGAGAGAGGGAGAGAGAGAGAGGGAGAGAAGTGATGGGGGATGGGGCGGGGAGGGACAAAGGCAGACGGTGGGAGACAGAGAGAGATAGCGAGGTTGGGGGGAGGGTGAGACAGAGACAGAAGAGGAAGAGACAAAAGAGACACAGAGACAAGGAAGTGGAGAAAGGGGAAGCAGGCCGAGACAGACAGAGATAAAGAGCAACAGGACAAAAAGATGTCGCCATACTGAACTCATTCTACAAATAATCTTCTCTTTTCACTAACGGTTTTAGGCTCCTTGGACGATGCCCACAGATAGTGATGAAAAGAATCGATGGTCAGAAGACGGCAGTGTCCAGTTTGTGAATTACAGTACCAGGTACAGAGAAGACCTGGACTGCGTGCTGAAGAACATCACTTGCAAGATTCACGGAGGAGAGAAGGTACGTAGACTTCCTCACTTGAAATCTTCCTTCAGTTGTTTTTAGTTCGTTGCAAGCAAAGGCTTGTATTATATATAATATCAAAGAGCGTGCACTATTACGCAATTCCGGTTCACCATGAAGAACACCGTTTAACTTTATTAAAAAACCAAATTAACGGCAAGAAGGGAAAAGTTGCAGGCGCACTCGACTATAGCGAGGCGGTGATTTGCCCTTCATATGCACGCTGGTGGTGCCCATGAGCGCAGCGAAGAGAACAAAGAGCGATGGCCATTACAATGCCCGTCTTGGACATTATAATTTTAGTCTGTGGTTGCGAGTGGTTTCTCTCAGCATCTCCTAACAACACGACTCAAGGATGATACTAGCATAGTGAGATGCATCCTTGCAAAAAGACGAAGATGTTAATTCGAGAAACTGACTCTCTTCCCCTAGTGGAGTGAAGCTCGTGCCTTTAGCACGTAATCAAAATAGATGAAGTCATCGAGGGCCTGCGATTATTAGGGTCATTCGACAATACTCTAAGACACTCTGTTTTGGGGCACTGTATAAAAAAAGAAGCGTAACACTGCATTATTTAGTGAGATTTTCCAGTTTTGTTTTCTTTTATATCTGAAACTTAAAAGGCTAGTAACAATATGCATAATATGAAATAATGGTATGCAAATCCGTGTTTTTTTAGTTCTGTATGATCGTTCGAAAAGTGTCCCAACATGGCATGTTGGTCTGTTACTGATCCGGGCGTTCGTATCAGATGTCCTCAGCTGGTCTCTGTTGCTCAGTTGATAACTGACATGATCAACAGGATTTAACCAACCAATGTCTCACTCACTCACCCACTCACTCATTAGTCCCTTGACTTGCTTCGTCTGGGGAACTGAGGCTAGAAATGTTGATTTTTCCCCATGTCCCTCTGTCTGTTCTCCCGTCGAGTTCTCTTCCCGACAGACCCAGTCTATTAGTTGATATTATCAGGCCAGCTTTTATTTTGTCTTCCTTTCTTTGACTGTCCTGAATGATGGTTTTTGGTAAGGTTTTTATGCCAGGTTGAGTAACCAACACATAAACATTCCGAAACAAAACCCCAAAATTTCTGTGTCCCTCCCCGTCCCTCCCCGTCCCTCCCCGTCCCTCCCCGTCCCCTGCAGGTGGGTATCGTGGGCCGTACCGGAGCCGGAAAATCCTCCCTGTCTCTGGCTCTATTCCGACTGCTGGAGGCGGCGGCCGGCACTATTCTCATAGACGGCCAGGACATCTCTGGCATAGGACTACACAGGCTACGAAGACACGTCACTCTACTGACACAGGTATGTCGTTTGTATATTATTACGTCTAGCTATGTAGAACTCTCGTCGCGCGGGCGGTAATAATGGTTAAATTGGGTTTAACACCCCTTGCACCACTGTAAGGTTATTTATGAAATGAGCAGGCGCGGTTCGTCCATAGAGCACGGTCGTGCAGTGCCGCCCAAAATTTTTTTAATGTTCTATTACGTAAAACACCTACAATAATAAAATAAAAGACGCCAGAAACAAACACTAGCCAACTATATCAAAATACGTTTCTCA